AAAGATTCTCTTGCATTAGATGAGCATCTATTCTAACTGATGATTTGCAATATACCTCTATTTCTATTTTCCCTGCTTTCAAAAAGTAATTAGTATTCTCCACCGGTATCCAAATCTATCATAATAGATCCCCGGCTTATAGATTCATACTGCCGCATTAACTAGAGATTTATCCTATTGAGACATGCTCAGTTATACCAATTTATCATTTTAAATGAGAATACCACTTATTGCTTCGTGAGGCATCTAGAAGCAGTTAATGATATAGCCTCATCATATGAACTCTTTGATGGAAACAAAATATGAGTTGTAACAACTTATATTTTAATTATTTAAACATATTTGTGGCTTACACACAATAAAAAAGAAGACTTGTTTTTCAATTACAGATCGATCAATCAATCTTATTTACTGGGTGTAAGCCACAAATCTGTTTGAATAATTGAAATTTCTCCCAGGAAGCATTACATTTATAATATAACAATAGTGTGTTATAACAGTGAACTTTACAAAGTAAATTGAAAAGACTGAAAGACATCACAATGATATGGCATAAAAAGCTTGTTAATGCTCAGGCAAAATGTGAACATCCAAGAACACTTGAAGCTTGTTGAGAAAGAAAGGAGTGAATCCCACTTATGTTTTGTCAAAGATTTTTCTTTTTTGTAGTCCAGTAGATATTGACAGATTAACATTTGATGTATAGGAAGCAGAAACCATGCAAAAAGCTTTTCACTTTCACAAGGAAATAATGCAGTTTTAAATGTTTATATTCTTTCATTGAACCATCTATTTCTCTGTATAATGCATGTTTATCGTGCAATTGATGCAAATGATTAATATTATACAATTTCTGTGAGATTCATGAATTAACAAAATTTAATTACAAATTACATGTAATTTCTGAGAAGTATACCACTTAGGAAGGGTGGCAGATTGATTAAAGATTTGATAAATGACATTGTGCAATGTGCATATTAACAAAGTTTGTTGGCATGGGAAGAAAGTGGAAGGTAATTGAGAGATGGGCATAGATGTTTTTTTGGAAATTATATGGAATACAAGAGAAATCAACAATGATATTCAGAATAATTCATTCCGGTAGGCTTTGATACTCATTTTGCTTTCCAGTTTTTGAGCAAGTCAACTTTATTTCCACTTTCCTTAGTATAAAACTGAGAATCTTGCTGGATATTTCCTGACATCCTTTCTGTGTGTGTGTTAGCAATCAGGATCATTTGTTAGATGAGCAGTAGCCTATTTACACGAGATAGATTTAAGGTATAGGCAGATTAGCTTGTTGATGAGTAGCATTGATAATGCATTAAGATGTTTGCTAACGCATTTAGAGGTCAACTTAAAGCTCTGTATTAAACATCGAGCATCGAGTAGCGCAGCAGCGTATTGGGTCACCAGAAGAGCCGATCTGATTATGCCAGAGCATGTAGTAGCTCTCCCTAAAGGCTACCTTTCTTTTGTATATGTTTCAGAATGGATGATTTGGTTGATGATGGCTGGGTTTTTTAAAAGATAATTTGAATGAAATAATGAAGAGAAATAGGAAGGTTGCATAGAAGTGCATTAAGTAGAGAGAAAGAACATGAGAAGAGGGAGAGAAAGAAAGACAACACACATACACACACACACACCAAGAGAGTAAAAAAGGGAAAGAGAGAGAGAGAGAGAAGAGGGGAAGTGAAAGATGGAGTGATCAAAATTACAGTTGTCGCACATCACCACCACCCCCCCCCCCCCCCACACACACATAAAAAGTTATAAATCTTCAGTAGGAAGTATTATTATCTTAAACAACAATCATCCAACTGATCCCCCCCCCCTAAACCGGAAGGACACAACCTGTGTATAGATTTTACCTCTTCAGGTCAAATTGTTGCTTGGAAATCAAAAAATATTGATTGGCCGGCAGGTAGAAATGAAACATTTCTGTGAACACACTGAATGTATGTCCTACTGATCCGTCAGTCACTGTACAATGTCAAACAGTTATTCCAGTATTTCTACTTTGTCTCAGAATGAGTCATGATATAACATGTATATCACTATTGCTCATATAAAATAATGACTTGACATCTACTGTAGAAGTACAGTGAATGACAGCAATGTAATTCTCTTCAATCTGTTGACAGAGATTTTTGAATGATATGTCAAATACCAACTACTGAAGAAATATGCTAGCTTTTAAAATAAGAAATATGTTTAGGACGTTTGAGAGAGGATTGTGTCATAAATGTATATATAAATGAAAAAGTCATTTTGTATTTTCTCTTGCCTAATGCATACATGTTTAGAAGTGCTGAATAAGTTTTAATGAGAAATTTTGCCCTCCTTTTCACTTTTTGACACCTATATTTTCAATTTTATGTCATACCATGGGGAATATAACATAAATACTGTTACTAATCTTGATAGATGGCTTCTACAAAGTGATATGTTTTCCTAGATGGCACATCTGTTCTTCATGAAATAAAGAAGGAGACATTTTTAAAATGCAATTTTTTTTATCGTGGTGTCTTCAGAACTTGCGCTTTATTCAGGACTTGCGCTTTATTCAGAGCTGGCGCTGTTATTTTGATGCCATTTAATTTGACAGCATTGCGTAGGATTGGCTCTGCATAATGCAAGCATTTGAACGGAAGAACTGAACTGGAGTGACCTGCATTTGAGCCAAAGCATTTACACTGTAAGCTTTTTGCACGATGCATCAAGTTTTGTCACCCTTGTTCGTGGAAACCAGACCTCGTTCCGTCACTCCCTCATGTTTCCCAAAAGCTTTCTCAATTCAACGAGACTTTAATTATTAAACGGGTTATGTTTTCGAGGATAAATCACTGGCATTTCAATCAGGTGGCATGCACACTTTAGATTGATTTCCTGTATTAATCACCTTCAAAATTTTCTACTAAACAGGTACTTGTGGGGGCTTCTAAAAAGAATTGGTATGGGACTTGCGACTACCGTGCGAGAAAATAAGATGTCAAGTTTCCTTTATAGTGCCTCCAACCCGTGAATTATTCTGTGGGCTATTTCATAATGCATTATACGACAGTGCTGTGCCCTCAAGCTATTTTTTGTTTAAATATCATGGGTCCGTAAGATTGATTTGTGGCATTTACAAGCATGAACTGCTGACAAAGTCTCCAGAGAAAGTGGTCCATAATGGTCACTTCTCTTTGCGTTAAGCTATCCACTCTGTGATGGTTTGCAAGGGCAATATACATGTAGGTCTTATAGAGCCAGGTCATTTCTGTATTTATAAGACATATGTACGATGTGAATGGAAAAGTTCTTACTGGCAAGGAATTAACACTCAATTGAACACTGCGTGTAATTGTGTTGTTAGCGTTATATAAAGATCAAAATTACATTTCTTCAGGTATTTTCTATCTTGAAAACAGAATGGATGATATTCAATCAAATCTTTCAATTAATTCCATGACAATATCTTTAGGAATATCTTTCAGAAAGTATTACTCATTGAAAGTGTATGTCTGGTTCATGAAGGAAAGAAGTCATCACGTCTCAGCCGGAGCACTGCTCATTAGGGACACATTAATGTCGGCTGATTGACAATAATTGACTCATTATAATGTCATCCTAGGCTATATACGTGTGTCTCTTACCCCCCCCCCCCTCCCTTGCACTATCTTCCAGTACAAATCTTAATGTATTGCATTTTTTTCTTTTCGAAAGACTCTTTTTTTTTTTTTAAAGAAATATCTACCAAAAGAAATATATTTGGGAGCTACAGTGTAGTGAGCCATTAGAAATCAAACATTACATTCTAATTTGCAATATGTTTATGTTTTATGAAATGAAATTGTCTGTTTGTAGCCAACAGGGTATTATCTCAGTGTTAAATAAACAAGTCAATGTCCTTCTACAATGTAGCTCTCAGGTGATATGTCTAAAAGAAGAGTATTGACAAGAGGTAATGGAAGAAATATTCAAACTTGATACATTTTTTCAAAAGTGCACATGTACACCTAAAAGTATGATTCATCAGAATTATTCTATCACATTTATTTAGCGGGGGAAGAAACATTATCCAATGCATAATTGATGGAATGCAGTGGAACCCATGAATTTCAAAGAAATGATTCCTCCCAATTAAATCTATAATTTGTATTCTTCCATTCATGCTGAAGCAGACATTGTCCATAGAATGTCACCGATAGTGACATAATGCGACAGGCATGCATTCGTCCATACAAGATCACCCGTGCGGAACAACATGCCGTGAATTTTCACAGGAATCTCTTTGAATGCGGATTACATGTAGATTTCGGTCTGAGACAAAAAGATGACTTATCATTTGAATTCATCTAGAAGGAAAGTACAATGACATTAGATTCAATGGGTGTCATGCATGTTGATTTAGATATAAGTGAGAAGTTCGTAAGAGAAATATGTCGATACGAAATGGAGGCGATTGTTTGATTATGAGAATCTATTATTTAGTCTCAATTATATGAATGGGTACGGTCGCACTTGAGTAATTACATCATCGGGGTTTTTAGAGGGAGAGAATTGAAAGGGGGTGCCGGGTAAGGCTTTGAATGAGTACCCTATTGATTTTACATGCCGCCATAATCACCAGACCTGTCTCCCCTTTCACCCTATGTGCATCCACCTTTATAGTGGTGTCGCTGCCAGGAATTTCATCAATATATTTTGCTAATGCATGGCACCGGTGTGTGCAATGCTATAGCCACCTTTGATAGTTCTTTACCCGACTATCTGAACGTAAACAGAAATCTTCTGCATCACGGTTGTATCTTGGAGTGTGTGTGTGTGTGACGTGGGACGCTGGAATCATCCCCTCGTTTGTGTTTCTCTTCCCTGACATTTATAGGAGGATCAGCTATTTAATGAGGAGGGAGTAAGATATGCCCGTCCCTAGGTGAAATTATGTTGAGTAGGACAGTGCTGCAATTGGATGGGTCCGTATTGTAAAGCGTGGCCGTCTTGGCCAACATGGTCAGTCTCTTTTGCAGTTCAATATCACACCGTTATTAAAGATTTATGAGATGCAGTTTATTCAGTAGCGCTATCGGTTGCAAAGGACACAAGGATCTTCTGAATTCCCTGGAGAGGGTTAACAACATAAGGATAGCTCTCCATGGCCGATGCACCCTAACCGAATACATTGACTCGATTCAAAGCAGTCCTCCGATCCATTAGAAGTCTTACCAGTTTCCCACTTGCCGAGGAATAAACGACGTTGAGAGTTCGCCTGCCATGAAATTCGGTTGACCTGAGAGTGTTGGCATTTAGCAGGGCACAAAATTTGTCAGTTCTGACATTTTGGATGAGAAAGCTGGCAGGAGTTATCCAGTGATGCAAGCATTGGATCGCATCACATCAGGAAATTATCACCATTATCTTACCCTGGATGTTTAATATATCATAGCATTGGATCTCTATCGGTGGCAAGGTTAATATTTAAACGGCATCTAATTAACGCTGATGTGGGATGGTCTCGGATATCAACATCTACGGAACCCTTAATGCGAGAAAATATTCGCATGATTACCCCGACGTCGCCATGAATATGGATGAAATGGAATAATGGGCTCATGTTATCACAAGCAGAAGGTTTGGTGCTCAGACTGATTGTCAAATAATCCGGTTTACAGTCTCCCCCCTGACATTTGCACGGTAACTAAACGGGGGAAGGTAAAAAGGAATCAATAAGTTAACCCTGGGTTTGGAAGCTAGCCTGTGAGAGATAGATGCGTACGTGGGCCTAAATTGAGTGGCATGTAGCAATCTTATGCTGCCTGTATGCAGTACTAATGTTCCAATGTGGATCAGGTTTATATGCATCACTGGATGTTGTGTGTTCAGTGTGAGTTGATCATGTAACATGGATGCACCGCTAATGGGACAGTGAGACAAAAACAACTTCACACCTATCTAAAGATGGATAGTAATTTTCAGGATTTAGCCTTTCAAGCAATACTTCGGTGAGTATTTCTTTTAAAACAGCCTTGATATATGCTTATTCAATCTTAGTTTTTGTAACACTATAACAATTGTTTGAATTAAATATTGTGTATTGTCAAGGTTTTACTATGGCTTACCTGGCTACTCTGTGGTGTTCTCAAAGTGTACTAGGGTGCTTGATTACTCAGTGGTGTTGAGCAGTAGTCCTTTGAAACAATAGGTTCTTAGATCGAAACCAAGTTTAACGTGCCAATGCCCTTAGATAGGATTTAAAGTTATAGATCTTTTATGGCTCCTAGTATTTGTTTGTGTTATGATCAGTCAGGTTAAATGAAGACGGCATTCCCTCATTAGCTCCACCTGGATTGAGAGAGATAAATGTAGTAAAAGTACCTTGTATCTTTTTGTCTGTTTGGAGCCAGAAGGGCATTAATTCATATACTTTAAGAAAAAGTCAATGCTAGTTTTCTGGTTCAGAACAACTGTTTGCAAGCTCTGTGTCCGCAATGTTACTGCAAAGATCTCTGGGGGAAATAGGTCTTTATAACATTGTATGTTTCGTTTGTTTTAAGAACATACATTGTAAATTTACATTCAATAAATTAGTCTGAATGTTATCAATTTTTTTCTTTCTACTAACTACATGTATAAATCAAAATACAATGAGTGTGAATGAGCTCTTGTAATTAACTTTCACAGCAGAAACATGTTTACAGATTGTTATTACCCTACCCTACCCCCTCCCATGAACATATATAAACAATCTGAGTGAGTTGAAAAATGTGGTCAGCCACATCTATCGAGCTTCATGAGCTTAAGCTTCAATAAATCATTTTTAATTAAATTTTGTCTCCCGCATGGAAGGAAACGGTCCGATATTTGTTCTACCTGGTTAGAAGTAGGTCACTTTATGAAGCAAAGCCATCGACCAGCATTTTAAGTTCTTGCAATGTTGATGTTTAATTTTGTTCATGCCTCACTACAGAGTCGAGTACAAGATTTGGTAGGTTAAGGGATTTTACTTGCAGTTGACTGAGCATTGATGTACTAGTTATTAGCATTTTCATGACCAGTCAGTAATAATTTAGTTTGACAAATCCATAACAACAACTGCTACTGTTGCTAATGCTACTGGTACTGTTTCTATTGCTACCACTACTTCCGTTGAATACCTTTGCTCTTGTTCTTGTAGTGTAATATTGTTACTTCAACTGATGATACTACAGCTACTCCTTGCATAAATTATAAAAAAATGAAGATCAAGCGAAATGACAGCAACAGCTTCTACTACTCAATACACCCTGTTTTGTTTTTTGTTTTTAGGGGAGGGGGGTGGTATTCTTTGATGTAGCCCCTACTACTACTACAACTACTATGTACTACATACTACTACTTCTACTACTAATACTTCCGCTACTGCTTCTGTTACTACTACTGCAACTATCACTACGCCTACCACTACCACTACCACCAGCAGTACCACCTCTACATGTACTTCTTACACTACCACTTATTACCACACTCGTTTATTCACAACACTACAGGTATCCCTTCACATTCAATGTTAAGAGTGTGGGTTCATTCAATTTACAATATGTATTAGTTTTCACTTATGTTGTAATGACTGGCAATACTGATTAAATTATAATTTGCAATAAACCAGCATTGTTCTGCGTTCTCAGTTACAGTCTATAGACACCATTGTTCACACACAACCTGTGGCTGTCTGTGTAATCTCACCCGGGCACACTTGAGAGACCCCAAAGCTCATTTCATAATGGACCCACGGTTGGTTTAAAAACCCCTCCAGAAATAGGCCGGAAATCAATACCACGTTGTGTTCTAGGTTGTAGCAAATTACTCTCAAGTGTAGAGCTGTTTATTATTCACTATTGATTCAAACAAACACAGTCCAGTTGACTGACCCGGCCTGTCAGTGTAGTAGCCAAAAAAATTAAATTACTTCAAGGGTAGATTTGCATGTCAGCCTAGGTTTACCTTATGAAATTCAGTAGGAAAGAGAATAATGAGATACAATGATATTGATACTCGCACTTTGACATTGATTGACAGGAGCTTAGTCAGTATTTTCCATGGGAGGGGGGGGGGGTAGATTTACATTTAAATATTAAGTTTTTTAGTTTTTCATGTACAAAAGGTAGATTTGGAGAGAGTCTGACAAAGCTTTTGCGGAAGAAATTCCAAAGACAATATTATTAAGCACACTTTTCTGGTCTTCTGGTTAATAAATGATGACGATGTGTGTATGGCATGTGTATAGAAAGAAACATGTTTTCTTGGCAGTTGGAAGCAGTCGAAGAACACCATTGGCACTTTTCAGGTTCACAGCTAGTTTGAAGAATGCACAGAATCTTAGACATATCAATCTTTGTGTTGTCCAATAATGATAATCTATTTACAATTCATATTTTTTTTCATGCTACTTCCTTGAAAATATTCTTGAATGTTACTGAATACTAGGGCAAGTAAATATTTTGTTTGTTTTATCATATCGTTTTACATTTCTCTAGGCAGTGGTTTGAAGAGGGTGACCAGACATCTCGTATTTATAGGATTGTCATATGATATCCTTTACTTGTTCTGAAATTCTGCATTGCATATCAAACTTTCTTAGTATGCTAACAGACAAATTTATGAATCTTCTTGGCTGAACTAGATGGAATGAATGGAGGCCTTGAATGCTCACAATTTCAAACACACCCCTCCCCCTGTCATTCATCAAATTAAATGGGGCATGTTGATGTAAGATGTAACATGATACGTCTCGGTAGACCAACTTACTAATATAATCAAATTTATGGACGTTTCTTACTTATATTAGGACCTAGTGACAAATTATTCCATTAACCTGTTATTAATCAATGAAATACAATACTCGGAATCCAGTCTGCATATTTTACTTGTTGCTACGTCAGACAAGCCTCGGGCAATATCTCTGTTTTCAGAACCTTTGTTTTAAAAATATGCATAAAATATAAATTAGTAAAAAGGTCTACCAACGAATAACAGTTGGTCATAATATGATCACATAATCTTGTTATGTGTTTAATCTTGTTTGTGTTTAATCATATTAAGCAACATTAGATTAGGCCCACGCTAGAATAAAACATAATTGCGTTTGTTGAAATGAAGTGGTACGTGAAGGCATTGTACATGACAGGTATATTGTATAGGGTTGTATCCTGTGAGAGTGCCCCCCAGCTACAGCTGTATGCACCATGGTAGAGAGGGTGTGTGTGTGTGTGGGAGAGATGAAGAGAGGGAGGTGTGAAGATGTGATGCTCTCAAGATGAGCCAATCTCCGCGTCCTCTTCACGGTGATGCAAGATGTAATTATCAACACAGTCACACGTGATGTGAGGGTTTGCAGGGGTAGATGTAGAGTGAGAGAAGTAGGATGTGGGACAGAGAGGGGGAGAGAGAGAGAGAGAGAGAGAGAGAGAGAGAGAGAGAGAGATTGAGAGAGAGAGGAGAGATAATATGACCGAGAGTTAGAGGAGGGGGAGGGAGGGGAAGGGAGAGAGAAGGAGAAAGGGAGAAGGGTGAGGGGAGAGATAGAGATAGTCATGAAGATAAAGATGAAGAGCGGTGTGAGGCAATGATAGAAATGACAGAGCCAAGAAAAAAATCTAGAAAGCAGAGTGAAATAAATAAATAAATGAGTAGAAGATTTGTACGAGATATCATCCTTTTGGCTCTTAAGCTTATCAGATGGTGAAGAGCCTGGACATGAATGAAATAAAAGCTTGTTGAAAGCAATCGGATGAACAAGGTTCAGATGACAGTTTAAGAGGGTTGGAATAGGAAAGAAAAAGAACATACGAGCGGTATAGAGATACATGTAGATAGAGACACAGGCAGGCATGGGGGAAGCCGAGGGATAGAGAGGATATTAATTCTACAAAGGATGGATGAAGCCCAATGATGCATGCACCATCATCATCCCTGCATTCAGTTGAGAGATTAATCTTCCATGCAAATGCTAGTACTTTTGCCCCTTCCAGCAATTTCCATGGAAATAATCAAGTTTATTGACTTATTATTTCTTGCAAGGATTTTTTGACCTGTGTTACCATTTTTATCTACTGTTCTCTCACAGGAGAGGCGAAGATTCTGTTATCAAAATCAGTTGAAAATTCATAAGTTAAAGAAAAGGTTGAGGTTTTGGAAGAGATGACAAATAATTTGTGAGTGTTATCATTGTATTATGCAAGTGTGGAAGAACATCAGAAAAAAAATGTTCCCTGAAAAGCAAGGCTCTTCAAATGCCTTCATATTCTAATATGGCATGTAACATCATAAAAATCAGGACAGATTTTATGCCACATGTTCGTGTAGTCCTATATACATCTTTCTGTGTACAGTGCTTGTAACTTTACCAAGACTGGGCCAAATTTCTTATTATTTTGATGATTCAAGAACCGTGCAGTACACACCATTACTTATATACCAGGTGATCAACCTTTTCTGATCTATTCCACAACGTTTCTTTCACAATGCAATCCCTTGACCAGAACTCAACTTTATCTTTAAGTATTTCCTAGATCCAGTTCAAAGACCTGTACTTGTATGCAGAATTCATTTGTAATATGAATTCCAGCGATGTCAAAGCATATTTGACGATCATGAAGCTACTGTTGACAGAGCATGCAAATGTTACGTGCTCCATTTATTATATAGAGCCATAGTCCCTGGATAAATACTTTACACAAGATGGAGTTTTACCATTTTGTTTGGTTTTAGTTTGCATGTTTCTTGTTCATATCAAGGGACAAGGAAGCACTTCATATCAGCATAAGTTGGTGGTAGGTCTATGATATTATCAACAGGGACAAGTAGTCATATGATTCCTCTTATCAGCACATTGCAATTGTCCCCACTGAGGATAAATGACAGGGATAGTCTTAGGATAAGACTCATTCCTGCAGATTAAATACTGAGAAGATGCTTCAAGAAATGGCAGTGCCTGTTTCTGTGTGAACAAATTTTGAAATACTTA